TACCATCAAATACCTAACATACTATCAAATACCTAACATACTATCTTACTTTTTCCCTACTATCAAATACCTTACATTCTATCAAATACCTACTATCAAATATCTTACATACTTTAAATATTTTACATGCTATCAAACATCTAGGTTACTATCAGATACTCTACCAAGACAATTGATGGCCTAAATGATATCTCATCTATGTATATAATGTTGTAACATAGTGCTGTTAACAATGACGTCACACAATTGAGGTATATTGTTAAACAATATGTAGTCACAGAAATACTGTTCATTTAATGTTATAGTATCATGATGGCAGTTAATGTAATTCATTATCACAAATTTAAAGTTGTGATAGATGGTATTTTCAAGTTTATCAAATTCAGTTTATTTTTTATATAACTACATACCTACACATAAACAATGAAATACGGGGGTATGCACACATTCTCTACATTTAACAGAAAAACATCAGTTTTTTAAATTTAGTGAAATGTTGCTTTTCTGAGTAAGGATCTGTGCTTTTGTTCAATTGAAAGAGCCATTTAATTTCAATTCAGCAATGATTTTATGATAATTATAACACAATGAGCACCATATATATAGTGGTATAGTTCTTTCAAAAAAGGAAATATATACATATGTATGCAAGAAATTCAGAGGTGGTGTATTATAATTTTGTAAGATAAAGTGTTGGAATTTATCATGCTTGTCAAGTTTTGTAGAAATATTTAAGGCATTATAATTATATAAAATCAGAAATATTCATCAAAGCATTTAGATTCAAAATCATCTCACATATATCACTCATGCTAGAAAGAAATAAAAATACAGTAAAGAGCATCTGTGTTCAAGACAAAAACTTTGAGTTATCTCCCCTATCACACAAATTTTCAAAGATGAAGTCCCATTCTCATGAAATTTTAAGTAGATGTTCAACTTAGAAGCTAATATGATGATTTCATTTTTTGTTTTTGTTACTTTTTGGGTTTTCACTTGTAGTCAAACCGGTAACAATTTGAAAATTTCTGAACTCGTACAGACTTAAGAAATTTTCAAGTTGTATGAATTGTATGTATGATTTTGTTTTCAGTATAGTGCTTTTTTCTGTATTAGAAGTAATTAAGATTGCTAATGAATGCAAGCTGCAGCCGCTATGCTCATATCAAATACATTAAAAAAATAAATTGAAATTAAAATGTACATCAGGTGCAAAATTTCCAGTAATCAATCATTAGGACTTATCATTTTTTCAATGTCCTCCGAACATTAAAATGCTTTACAGTAGAAGCATGAATAACCTGCTGAGGTAAACTAATTATCCACAGTTTTCTCAAATTTATATATATATATTGCTAACCTCTTTATAATAGGTGGATAGTGGTGGTATAACATTAGGTTTGATGTTAAATAGTTCTATGTTAGGTGTTTTTATTCTTCAGGTGTAATATATGGTTAATTGTTAATACTTTGACAAGGCGCTAAATGCAAGCTTGTTCTTCGGCCTTAATTGGTGACAAAACACATTTAATTATGTCACTTTAATTAAATGGTTGTATGTTAATAGTTTTTCCTAATGTTTATACTCAAAGATACAAAGAACTGTTAGCTTGAAAATTAAAAACTTTAAAAATCCTAACAGCATTAAAGCTATGTAAGATATACATATAGCATGTATGATGAGACAAGATAGGAAGAGACAACTAAATTTGTGGTGAAAATTAAGCTGTATAGGGAAGACAACTGAATTGGTGGTGGAATTAAAGTTGGATAGGGGAGACAACTGGTTTGTGATGGAGTGATGCATGAAAACAACTGGATCTGTAGTGGTTGGATAATGAGACCAACTGGATTAATGGTTGGTTACATCAATATTGAGACTTGAACTGGGTTGTGTATTGTACCAAGCTAACAGAGTAATGGTGACAAGGCGACACAGAGACCTCAGACTATTTATTGTCTGCTTAGGTGTACAATATCATTGTGTTTTATTCTTGAGACTATTGTCAATATGATGATATCAATGACATAAACAGATCAGATTGTTATCATTTGGCTGTAAATTCTCCGTATCACAGATTAATCAGGACTCCTAATTAAATATTTGTGTATAATACTAGTTGTCCAGGGCATACATGTCCAATATGTCGTCAAGTCTTAAAATCGTTTCAACCTCATAATCAGAATGCTGGACGACAGGGTTTGTAGAAACTGGGCCGAAACACAGGGACAATAGAAACAAAATGTCTATGTTATGATGTGATAGTGAAATAATTGTTTGGAGAGTAAAATGAGAAAACCTGCTGATGTCAATTAGAAAAAAAAATGTCTGGATTAGCTTTTTATGCTGTGGAACTGTCTGGGTTTGAAAACTGGTCTGAGTGACCATTAGACATCTCACAGCACAGTCACCATGAGACTTGCACAGCACATCATATCCATGTACTGATATCATTGCATAGTTTTCACAGATATAAATTGGCCTAGAAGTATGTTTCAGGTTGTAGGAGGCACAAAAGAGCTTCCTCTGATGGTTACTGGCTATGAATTGATGACCATTAATTAACCGCTGTGACACTGTAATTCTATTTTGTGATCAAATGTGAAAAATATCTTAACCAAAGTCTAAAAATTTCTTTACCATGTCCTGAATTTTGACTACAAAAGTTACCCCTGGTATGTCTATTGTGTGTTAAGGTTTGATCAGAGACAGGTCATGCGCTTCATGTCAATATCAGAATGGCAAAGTCTTAAATGGCCTTCAAACACCTGATAAATATTGTTCCACTACATAATATGACGTCCCTCACTGTACTTTATACAAAGTTACATACTGGTGAAGGAATTTTTGTAACTAGATACAAAGTTCATAACTTTTAAGTGATTCGATATCAGAAGGACTATTTTTGGACAATACATTATGAAGGTATTGTGTGTCTATTTATCACAGATATTTATTCATATGTCCTCAACTTTTAATTAATAATTACTTCAATAATTATCTAATTACATAAAACTTTTTTGTTTTGATAAAATATGAGACCATTTATTGTGTTAGTTTTAGGATCTCATTCCATATTGTTTACAATAACAAAAGTACCAAAGTTTTTGGATTTTTTTGGTTTTGTTTTGAGATCTGGAACAATGGGAACACTTGTGAAAATATCAACATTGAAAAAAGTTTAGTCACATTTTTTAAACACTTATTTGTGTCCTAAATGGCCAATGGAATGTTCCTTAAAAAAATCTTTTAAAAAGTGTGAAAATGTTTTGATAAAATAGTGTGATTAGATGCTAATTGGAAAATTTTCACTTACTGGACTTTAGTAATATACTGATAATACATGTAAAAGTTTGGAGTTCTAATCTGTTAAGTAGGTCACTTTCAGTCTAAACTTGGAATACACAAGTTCATAAATGACCCTAAAGTAGCTATACAAAGAAAAAAAATTTCTCTTTCCATTTCAATATTTACTTAAGAAATTAGACAAGTTTTTATTGGTCTGATAATCTGCCCTGATAGCTGACCCTGACGGTTTTTAATGTGTTGTTACTCTGTAAAGTATATATATATACTGTTTGATTCACAAGATAGAGTTAATGAAACTTACCATTGATGATAAAAGTGCTGGATTATAATAATACTGAACTTTATATTTCCTTTGAATGCAACTTGGGAAATGATTGACAATTTAAACCAGAAATTGATAAAGATGACAGCATACTCTAGACCAGGAGTTATCAGCACAGAAGTTGATGATGCAAAGCTTTGTCAGTTTTATTCTTGGGTTTCAAACATTTTGTTTTCATCTGAATCTAATCATCTCAAGTTAGGTTATAAAAATAACTATGCCTGAAAATAAATGAAAACTTAAGCTAAGAAAGAATATGATATTAATATGTTAAAAAATATGCTGAATGATTATAAAGCGACTGATTTTGAATTTGTTAGAAGCTGACTAATCTTTTCTTGATGTCAGGGCTCACTATTCCTGTGAAGTTTATATACTTACATATATTTGAGGACTATTTACTCATGCTGTGTCATATCAAAAATTGAATTGGGGACAAGTTCAAAGCCATAATTTAAATCTTGATACAACCAACTCATCTGTGAAGATCTAACACAGTGATTTCCTTCATTTTTGCACAATTTGAGACATTAAAAGAATATTTTTTCTTGAAATATATCAAAATAAAATGACAATTATTAGTTCTAAACAATAAACATACACATTTGAATGTTATTTGGAAATTTTCCAAATATTATTTTTCATAACCTTAGAAAGTTTGACACAAACTAGTATTGCTTTTGAGATTTTCCCTGTGGGATTATTTTGCTTCAGAACGGTGAATTTAAGCTTTTGTTATTTTTATGATAAAATAAGTATACCAACTGGAACACATAGTCTCAGATGTTAAATTGACAAAGTGGATTGTCCTTTAGCATAACATCTTGGAGTCTGGTATGGACGTTTTGTCTGGGAACATCTCCTGTTATAGTTGTAAATGTGTGTTTTGAGTGGAAATGTGTGTAGGACCTGTGAATGACAGAAGATTTCTAAGGTTCAGTGATAAGAATTTTCATTTTAAAGGGTAGGTTTTTAAAGGTAACTGTCACATTTATGTTATACAATACTGATGCAGTATTCATTGCAGAAAACAGTGGGTGTTTTTTTAAGATTGAAATATAAATGTCTTGGATATGACATACAAGTGAAATTAATTTAGATCTTTTGGTGTTATCGTTATATAACACTGTAGACACTTTTTCCGAATGAATTTAAAATGTTGGTTTCTTTTTGAGAATTATAGTCATTTTTTTAAAGAATTATGATCATGCCATTTATGAAAAATAATGTTATCATCATGCTCTAAGCTTTTATGAGACCAATAAAATATATCTTCAGAATGTTTATATCATCCCAAGAAATCATCAATATGTTACAAGAAAATGGTTATATATGCAATATTTTTGATCATTTCTTTTTCATTTCCAGATCCAGAATCTTTGTATTTACCTCCAGAGTTCAGCGATGTCACAAACAATTATAAGGTAGGTCAACATCATTAAATCTAAAATCAGATTCAGTAATTTAAGGAGTAACAGAGGAGAATTATGTTAGTTTAGTAGTGCACCCATTTTATAATCAAGACTTTGTCTTTTATAATTAAGTTGCATAAGAAGAGAGGTGCAGGTTCAATACTCACTACACTAAGCAGATTTTGTCTCTCAGGAAGCAGTCTCAAGGCTGTTGTATCTATGGACCTCTGAATTGCATTTGATGGGCCTCCAGTATGTTGTTCAGCAAGATAGCCACCAGCTATTACAGTAACCCTGCCTTTAAATGACACTGACTTTCATGGGGCAATAAACCCATCAAACAAACCAACATGTGATTATGAAACAATGCTTCCTAACGTCATCATTTCCAATTACACAATGTACTATCATAATCATATGCCAGGTAGTAATTTCTTGTCATTCATTTGTATATTGTTTTCCTGCAAGATATTACTGCAGATTTCTTTACACAGAGTTCAATGCATTAATCATTTAATGTAATTATTGTAATAAAATAACTTCAAACAGCTGATACACAGGACATTGTATCAAAAATAATTTTGACAGAGGGTCTTTCAGTTTCATTTCATAGTTTAAATGTTTTGTATATGTATACCAGCCATATTTAAATCAATTACAATATATTGAAATAACCCTTTTCACCTGCGGTATTTCTCAAGTATGGATAATTTCTTTAATCTGTTGACACATTTAGAATTGATTTCTCAATATTTATATGAATTCGTTGAAATTGTAAAAGTACTAGAAATATGTATACAAGGTTTCCACTTAACAATTGCCTGTTAAACTAAAGTACCTAAATTGGTTGATATACAAAATCATTGTAAATAAATAAAAGTCATGAATTTGAATGTAAGATTTCAATTAACATACATCAGAACACAGCAAATTGATTAAATCTTGATGGTATTTTGTATATGATCGCATTATAAATTCTTTTAATAGTACAAGAACTTGTTTTTCCTGGCTTACTGATGATAAAAATTAGTTTCACGATGTTGACACAAAATTTTATTAAGATAGAAAAGATATTGATTGTGCTGTCTGAACTGTCACTGGTCATTCTCATTAATCAATTCAAAGACTTGAGCAAGGCTGTAGCTAAGGAATGAATGAAAGTAAAGAGCTGACATTATGAAGTAGTTTCAAATCTATTGATCTCAAACAACATATGGTTTCAAGTTGAACTTTAAACTGGTCATGAGTGTCAAATTCCATGTCCTCTTACAATTTGATATACAGGTATCTGTATTTAAGAAATAGGACATACAGCCACTAAGAATCTCTCTTTCTGCCCTATTTCTCCCTGATTGATACTAGATCATCAGATAATTTTAATGTCTAACTTTAGGAATTATGTGTTACGGTACATTACATGATACAAAATTGGAACTGTTTACACCTATTTACTTTTTTAATAAAAGATGAAAATTGTGTGAATTCTCTCACATTTTTGGGAAAATTGTCCTCTGGTGTAATTCTCCTTAACAAATTCTTTTTAAAATTATAAGATGTTTTTAATAAATATATAAAGAAACCAGACTGAATTATCCCATTACCATCCTTTGAATAATAATATCCACAGACAAGTGTTTAAAAGACTGAATGTTTTATTTTACAATTATATGTATATCTTGACACCCCTGTTGCTTGATGAGTTATTCCCCTTGTTTAACAAGATTTATCTCCCTTGACAGTCCCATCTGTATTCCTTGGGGATGACCCTGCTTTATGCTGCTGAGTACAATGTTGATCCAAGTCGACCTGAAATCTCACAAGAGTTACGGGAACTGTTTGGTTGTATGACAGCAGAGGTGTTAACATCGAGACCATCTCTAGAGGACATCATCACACTTTGTGAGGAGGAACTTGTAGGAAAGTCATCACAGGAAGTCTGTGTCGACATTGCACAGACATTCGCACTACCTACACCTACACCCCCAGGTAATGAAGATTCATTGGCATACAAAATGTTTTTTTCTAAAATTCCCTTCGGAAACTTTACCTGTAAAAGGATTGCAGCAAATGTTCCCCAATATAATTGTGGAGTATATACTACACCTGGTATTCAGCTTTCATCTTGCTGTGAAAATCAGTTATATGACACATCTACAGTCTTTCATTATTACAAACAAAAATTTGTTCTTTTGATTTATTTTGAAAAAGTTGAGTTTTGAAATATTGCTGTAGGCCTGTATACATATTTGTATGTCCTTTTGAATTCTAACAGATCTAGCAACAGTAAGTCTAGCAGACGTAACAGCCAGCTTAGCCAACTATCTTCAGTCCCAGTCCAACTTAATCTCTGCACCTGGAGGAGAGGTCAGTGGGGAAACAGGGGTTAGTGAGGTCACGGATACTTCCCCTGGTCCTCAGGAACATTCTACACCTTTACATCTACCAGTTCCAGTCCAGGAGCACACTACAGCATCACCAACAGAAGAGGCAGACGACGGAGACATGCCTGTCCGCGGGGTTCACACAGGGTGTCCCATGCCAACAGGTAACCGTGGCAACAAACCAACCCCTGCTGCAAGAAAATTGTCACGATCTTCTCAAGATAGTTCTAAAGACACATCTCAGCAAAAACCACCTGTGCCAAAGAAACCAGACTTAAACAAAACAGTGAAAACTGATCAAGTGTCCGAGGGTAATGGAACAATCAATACCAATCAAAGTGACCACCAAAAAATGTTACATGGTAATGACAATAATGTGTTATTAGACAGAGAGGGGTCAAAGTTCAAGGACTCTCCACTCTCAGGGACAGGTCACTCGAGTCTTGAGGCTCGCCACTCCTCAGGTGCGGTAGACTCACAGGGAAAGAGACCCCGCAAAAGCAAGGTAAGGCAAACATCCTTTTTGATCTAGATTTTTCTAGTGAGTTGTGCCCATCATCCCTAATCAAGTGAGAGGTATAAATGATAGACTGTGACTTGAAGCTCAAGGGTTTTTTATTAGTTACACTTTATTTATTTTTTATGTACACAAACTTAAATATTTTTTCATGAAAATATCTAGGGGCTTAAATATTTGAAAGTACATGCATCTTTCTGTTTCAAATCTTTTCTTTAATTATGAATTTCTCAGATGAGTGAAAGGAAGGGTGACCTAAACACAAGTTCAACTTCTGTAAATTTACTCATTTTCTGAAAGCTACATTTTTGTAATTTTCAAAAATGTATTATTTTGTGGACTGTTGGTTTCGTGGATAGTAGAGCTCAATAAATCTTTTACATACTTCTACTTATTTCAAAAGTTTGAAGACATGTAAATTTGTAATTTAAGAGTATTCATGGAATCAATGAAGATAAAAAACCACTGAAAATTTAAGATTTCATGGTAAATAGGGTGAAGATCTGGATTGATTTAGGCACAGTAATACAAATATATATTATACATTCGAATAAATTTATCATCTGAATTCACAGAAAAAGGCATACGTCAAGCTTTGACTCATCAACACATAAAGAATATCAATAAAAAATAATGATGTTAACTAGATGTAATTAATTTCAGTTTGATAAATCAGTTTGCCATTGTACCTCCACAGGGGCTTTCACTTGGTGATATCTTAGAGACTTTGGAGCGCCCTCTAGTAGAGGATGAGGTATGGGCAGTTTGTCGGGAGGGAACTATTGCACTCAACAAGAAAAGAAAACATCTCCGTAAGTTTACATGTGTTTAAAATAAAGATAAATGTATTGCTATAATTGTATGACAATCTGATTTGCAGAAACATTTACAGTTGACAGCATTGATAATATTTTAAAGTTAAAGTCATCATTTTAGAAAAGGCATAATTCAAAGTACATTTATGGAAACTTAGTAAACATTGAAATACTGTAATATATTCAAATATCAGTATGATGTAGAAATGATGTAGATAAATTCAGTGAATTTTAAGTGGGATCAGATAGATATTAAAATTTTTGGTGTAATGATCAACATATTGTTAGATACAATAATAGGACATGATTTTATTTCTTCAGCTGCCTACATTTCTCCAGACACACTGTTACTGAGAGAAAGTGGGGCTCTGGCATTTCGAGCAATTCCTGAGGAAAAGCCACTGGAGGTGATTTACATGGCTCCAGAAATACAACAGAAAGGCCAGCTGTCAGACAAGGTATATAGTCCTATATGGAAACTAGGGAATGAATTGTGGTAATGCGAAAACAGAGGTCAATTGTGTAAGTGGATGCAGATGTGATGTAGGCATGACTAAGATGTGACTCACATGTGGCATAGGTGTGACAGTTGTGACTGACATATGACATAGGTATGATTGAGATGTGACTCTCATGTGTCTGAGGTAAGACTGAGATGTGACTCACATGTGACCTAGGTATGACAGTTATGACTGACATATGATATAGGTATGATTGAGATGTGACTCTCATGTGACTGAGGTAAGACTGTGATGTGACTCACATGTGACCTAGGTATGACAGTTTTGACTTACATGTGATATAGGTATGATTGAGATGTGACTCTCATGTGACTGAGGTAAGACTAAGATGTGACTCACATGTGACCTAGGTATGACAGTTGTGACTGACATATGACATAGGTATGATTGAGATGTGACTCTCATGTGACTGAGGTAAGACTGAGATGTGACTCACATGTGACCTAGGTATGACAGTTGTGACTGACATGTGATATAGGTATGATTGAAATGGGACTCGCATGAGACTGAGGTAAGACTGAGATGTGACTCACATGTGACCTAGGTATGACAGTTGTGACTGACATGTGATATAGGTATGATTGAAATGGGACTCGCATGAGACCTAGATATGACTGAAATGTGATTCACTACAAGTGTGTATGCTGTTCACTAAACTTTCTGCTAGGATTTTATTACTTCATTAGGCTTATTTTCTGTTGATTTTATAATTCATGCAAATATTTCATTCTGTTTTTGTACAGTTTTCTTCATAAAAACATCCCATGAAATTCTAACTTTAAAGTCCCCCTGTTTTATCCTCTTTTGCTTTCTGTTATTGTTGCTAATAGTTTTAACTTGGTGTCTAAATCTCATTCACAGATGTGCTTGTTTGGGCTTGGTGTCACCATGAAGTTTGCTATTGGAAACAAGTATTCTACCGAGTCTTCAGGAGTTGGTGATGACTTGCAGAAACTTTTAGCTAATATGGTGGAAGAAGACCCAGAGAAACGGCCATCCATCGAGGATGTGTCAGAGGTGAGGAGAATTCTTCTTTTTATTGATTATATTGTGACACCATAGTGATCTGGACCCAATCTCAGATCTATTCAACATGGTAGTGTGTAGGCTGTCACAATATATATATAGAGCTAAACCCAGTAAATAATTAGATAATTAACGATTAAATTCTTCATCAGGATTTTATGTTCATTCCATCTGCATTCAGGACTAAGTGATGTTTCATCTCCGTAGTTTCCGAGTACTCCAACTGTTATACCTTTTAATTCACACTGATCATGACATTATTTTGACCTGGACTTGACCTTTTGTTGTCATCTAATTCAGTATAATCAGATAACTAAGTAATCACTTATGAAAAATGTTCCAATAGCATCAGACTATCCTGTGGTTATTTGAGCAAATCATGTTTCTAGATATGTAGCTCAGTTGTACAGAAAACCAGAAGATTGTAATAAAGTTCAATATTTGATTAGGCAATGAATCTCATATTTGAAAATAAGTTACATTAATAATTCTATCAGACTCACACAATCTTCCACACTAGTAGTTAATTTCTACAACTGCATATTCGAGTAAAATGGACAAAATTATTACTATTATATAGCTTTCCTGGTATAAAATTAACACATTACTAGAAGGCCTAAGCTTACATTAAAATGGACAAAATCTTAACATACGCAAGTTAGGAAATTACACATCCATTCTAGGTCTGGTCTATATACACTTCCAAAACATTTACATCCTTAGATAAAATAAGGGAAAAACTAACATTCATATATTCCAGACTTCTATCCCTTCTCACAAAAATAATAGACTTCTTACTTCTTATTAACAAAAATGCTCTTTCAGTTCGAACGTGCATTTATAAAGTTAAATTCAACTATTCTATCATCATGCTTAACTCTCAATATTTCTTTGTCACTACTAAGCCTAGTACAAAATAGATTTACATACCCCTGTCAAGCACTTGATAAGGTAACCACAGACCGGGAATTTAGAAATTACCCAGTGATAAAGATACCGCCCGTCCATCCCAATAAGAACGAGTAGTCTGACTACGGCCCTAGTACGTTGACCATAACTATTATTGTAAAATATTAAATAATTTCAAACCCCTTAATGATCTTAAGATTGAAAAAAAAAATTGTGTTAATTAAGTAAAAATGAGTGTTTGTTTGCGTAGATTTGTGGAAAGATATTATCAGCTTTAAAATATTAATTAAAAATTAAAAAAGATTAGGAGACTGGTAAATGTCACGATGATATACATAAAGCTATATAATAAAGGCATTGCTTTTATGTTTCATATCTTTCTGTATATATGACACCTTGTTGATTTTTGTTATTTTTATTTTGTTTTCCATTATCCATTAGCAATGTCATATGTAAAAATTTAACAATGGAATTTCCAAAATTAAACAGGATCTAGACAAAGGGACATAATATTTTTGTGACTTCTCAAGAATTTCTCCCTTAACATTCTGCAGATTTTTAAAGTTTAACTTCTGTTTTTGGATACATTGTGTATTGCCCATTTATTATTCCTAAGTGTCAATTGTGTATGATCTTGACCTCTACAGGCATGTGGTGAACATGAATGTGACCTTGGAATACCCTCCAGTTCTATTTGTCAAGCACTGTACCAGGAGGCATTCGAAAAGGTGGTAAGTATATACAGTATACAGCTTCACACTACATGTGAAATATACTTAAGGAAGACAGTCCCAATACACTTCTGTATCTCCTATACAGAAGAGTTTAAATCTATTAATGGTATGATTATTATAAAAATCTGTTATAAGTAGTAGTGATGGAAGCCATAAAATCTTTTATTTACTTAATTTGTTTTTGGTATAATGCACTTCACACATCTGATATTAAGTTTAAGTAAAAATATACCAATCGAGGTCAAGTGATAATTGACTCACCTTAGTATCAGTTGATACTTGCTTTATCTGAATTTATGTTGTATTTGACTCGTTTGAGTTAATATTAAAGTAGTAATTGTTTGTTTTAAGTAGGTTTTTACTCTGTTAAAATTACACTTATCCATTTGTATTTGTTTTATAATGATTGTGTAATACAATTTAATGATTTTGATTACATCTTTTGCAATCTTAAAGGCTGACAAGATGGCCTTCGCCATGCCAAGTGACCCTCCTAATATCCAGGACCCTCCAGAGTCATCCAATGGTTCTGCCTTTCGATCAATTCAAGGGGGATCACTCATCCGACCTGCTGCCATCAGTTCATCCACAGCAGCATTTAAACCAATATCAAATCTTCCAGAGGGCAAAGGTCATTCTGGACTTCCTTCTCAGTTTATGTCATCTGCTACTCATTTCAAACCAATCATTCTTCAGCAGTCTGTGACCCCAGCTCCAGAGGTCAAAGATGTTTCTAAGCAACAAGAGAGTCCCAAGGATTGTCAACCAAATGACAAGGACAAGGAGGTAGTAAAAAAACTGAAAGAGTTAAAGAAAAACTTGATGCAACATCGTCAGCCAGGCAAGGATAAGCCTGATGCAAAAGTGGCGAGGAAATCCTCAAAGTCACCAAGTGTTAGTCCAAAGGTTAGCCAGGTACTGAATAAAAAACCAAGTGAGGACCAAATTGAAGTGCAAAACAAGTCATCAAGTGATACAAAGTCGGAGACAGGGGGTCCACTAGAGTCTTTGCTGTCTGAAATACAGAAACAAGGGGCTGTCCCAAACACACAGGCTTTAGCTTCAGCTATCGCAAACTTCCTTCAAGGTCAAATGACTCAGTCACCCAATTCAAATTTGAATCAGGGACAACCACAAGTTCAAAGTCAAGGTCAGTCTCAAAGTCAAGGTCAGATTCCTGGACAACAGAATTCTTTTGTGACTCAAGGACAGATTGCATCTCCATTATCTAATACTGCCACGCCCTCTATGACCTTACAACAGCCAAATATAAATCTTCCTGGACAATTTCACCCTTCTTTGATTGGTCAGAACTTAAGTGTGCCCATAGGACCCCAGCAGTATAGTGGGGGTCTAATGCCGGGATACCCCCTACAGGTGCAGCTACAGCAGGATCCGCGTACAGGATTTATACAGCTTGTCCCTACAGGGATCCTTCCCCAGGCTATGGGGCCTCATGTTGGGGAAGACCACACCCACTCAGGTAGTAACTGTGACAACCACAGCGTACACTCAGCAAGAAGTCCAAAACAGCATATATACTCGGATAATTCCTCTGCCGACAACAGTGCAATTCTTAACAGTTCATTTAACAGTAACAGATCCCGTGGGGGTCGCACTGCCCGTGACCTTGTTCAAAAGACAGCAGGGATCAGATCACGGCACAGTCAGGGAAAGGCCTCCCCTCTGTCTAGTCAACCCCAGGGAGAGTACTTGTGGCGCAGCAAGTCTGCTCATGCCCTTGATAACCTTGATGGGGATCAGGGTGCGGAGGGACAAGCTAGTCAAAGAAGAAATTTAAGTTTGGCCCCAGGCCATGTATATGATGATTCGGTGCTCCCTGCTAACAGGCGGGACCCTAAGAAGAATGTTAACAGTGACATTTATTCACAGTCTTCCAAATCCAATGTGCCCCGACCTAGGACAATTGTAGGGTACCCAGAAAATAGCCTAGGCAGAGGGGGACAGTACTTTACTCAACCCCCAAGGACTCGTTCTCAGTCTTCCTCCCCCTCCCCTTCCAAGGACAGTGGGGTCAGTGGAATGAACACTGGCTACAAACCCCCTCCCCCAGGTAGTCTCATGGAAAGGTTGCTTAGCAATGTCAATGTAAAACAACAGCAGAAGCTTGGACAAGTTGTTCACCTCCTCAGGGAAGAATTTGCCTTTGATGGATACATGGAAAATGGTGTCGAGGATATCGCCATGGGTAAGTCTTGTCCTTTTTATCCCCTTTTGAGACCAGGTTGAAAATGGCCTGATATTACCAATGTTTTCAACATACAACTAGTTTAACAAGGGACATTGTGTAAAGTTTTTATTGTATTGAAATGAGGGGCATTTATCAAGATTGTACTCTGTTGAAATAGGGGGTATTATATCATGGTTTTACTATGTAGAAATGAGGGGCATTATATCAAGGTTTTGATATACGTGTATAGAAATGAAGGGCATAATTGTTTACTTTGCTATCTCTGATCAGTCTTTACTATATTAAAAGAAGTGATATCAAGTTTTATTATACTGAAATCATGGACATCAGAGATCAAAGTTTTACATGATGTTAAGAAGTTAATACAGTTTTACCGTAAACTGCAAAAAATTTTAAGAAAGCTTTGAAACAAGATGATTTTAACAATGTAAGGTTAGCAAAATAGAAATGTTTTCTTCAGAAGAAATATTCCGTTTTGAGCTGTTTCTGTACATCTATATGCTAAATAGACAAAATGTTTCATGGGATATTTTATGCCTATTACTGATTACTGAGGATTTTCAATATTGTGTGACTGCTGCTGATTTCAGGAAAGTTCAATAAATGTTCATAATACATATACAACATACACATATACACATTTTTGCAAATATTTTTGTATATCTCATATAATTGACAATTCATCAAAGTTCTTAACCATGCAGACTACAAAGACTAGGATTTATTTGATTTTCATCTTTTCACAGCGGAGTACATCACGTCCTTGGGAAATCTGAAGCTGGAAACGTTCGCTAGTGCTGTTACAGAAAAGTATTCTGACCTCTACTGGGGCTCTGACCTCCTCTTTAACTTGTACGATGCAGCCAACGGTCTAAAAGGGTCAGTACCCAAAAGTTAAATGGCCAAATAGTAATGTCTAAATATAGCTTAGTCTTGTAAGATGTATTGGTTACCATATTTATTCTGCTATATGCCCAAGGGGCTGATAAAATTCTAATCTAAGGTCAAGGGGTGGGCTTCTTACAAAACATTGAAATAATTTTGAATTTATGAGTGCACAGGTGAATAGATATGATAGGATCAAAGGATGTCGAAACTTTGAAATTCTTTCCAATAACAAAGGTTTGTGTAATTCTGGGGTGATTTAATTATGTTTGATAAAAAAAATTGATACAGATCATCAGTTGGGAGAACATGGCTTCAATTAAGATATTTTCAAATTAGTTTCATCGACCCAACACCATCATACAGAATTTATAAAAAAGAGTCTTTGAATTATTCGTTTTATGAGCCTTTCTAGAGGAGAGTAGATGCTCTTTGGTGAGAAGATTGTATACTAATTACCTGAGAAATGTTTGTATCAACAGACAAATCAATACTGCATGACTTCCTCACTTAAAACAAAAATAGATTGTTGTATTTCATTTTTTGACTGATAAATGGATTGGTACATTGTCTTTTTTTAGGTCTCGAAGACTAGTAAAAAATGGTGCCAAAACCTATGACCAGAACCCTGTTACTAAGCAGGAGAATTCTCCAGCCCATTTACCCATTCCTGGTCTGGATCACCCAGATCAGAACCTCTCATCATCCAGTCCCTCAGAATCTGGGCTTCCCCAGACTCCTCAGAAAGTTCCAGCAGACTCCAATTATTACCAGAATGTGTCACGTCAACCAGATAAACCGAAAAGTAGACATGTGTCGAAATCTCAGCATCACAACACGTCAGATTCATCTGATGCAGAACAACATGATAGAAGACGACGATATCGCAGAAAACAACACACAGACAAATCTAGGAATAGTCAAGAATATAATCTACGAACTTCTGGTTATGACACACCATCAATGGAGTTACATCCCTTGCGAAAGGACACTGATATTTCTCCCCGACTACAGATGCATATGACTAATGGTGAAAATCCACTTTTACAAAATGGAAACGTTCAGGTGCCACAGATTCGTGACTGGGAACCAGAAATTCCAAAAACCAGTCATGCTAACAATCCTAATTCCCTGATACAGGATGATGACAAGGTGTCTGATAGTGGATCTGAGAAACCACCACCTCCACAAAGTAGGCAAAATGCATGGGTTGTCTCCCCTGACAAAACAGATGAATTTGCCTCTACTAGTATGTCCCTTGATCGTCGGAGAAAGCCAACACCTGATTCATCATTATCACCATCAACTAGGCAAGTTTCTGCTTCTAATAATGCTTTGAGTGCAGACATGTCTAAACTGAAACGACGAGTGACACCAGAAAAACCACCCCGCCATAGTTTGGTCCATAGTAATCGTGTTGAAGGCCACATACAGCCGGGGCCTAGACCACTGAAGGCGATCCACAGGGACGGTAGCACATCATCGCATAGTAGCGAAGTGGCTGAAGTTCTTCCAGTCACTAACTTGTCTCGTAATATGTCACAGCTCTCTCTTGACAATTCGCCCATCGACAAACGTCTGAGGAATAGGAAAGGACATATTGTGTTTCACAGTGCCATGATGGAACTCTTTAGCTCTCTGGAACTTGACAAATTCCGGCAGGAAATCGTAAGTTCATTTTGATTATATGAGAAATGGTTCAATTATTTCTTTTTTTTTAATTTCTAACAGAAAAAAAAAAGTTAATTTTGATCCATTGATGCACTCTGTCATTTACAAACAGATGCTTATACCATGTAGGTAGGTATCATTAACTTTAGAAATTTTAGATCATGTAATGAAAAGAAGAATAGAAACTCCTAAACCAAGTTGCTATCATATACCACATCACTGTCTGCAAGGCAGGCTTCAACAATGCATTGGCTTACGTGATGAAGTTAGGAGTGCAAATGCAAGTTTTGTGGTAAAAACAACATTTTGACATCATAAACAAATTTAAGAATACAGAGCTCTAAAGAAAATTTGTAAGTATTTGGGTCCGTTTAAATCATGTATGACATATATAAATATGTATTGTATCTGATCTCTTTAAATATTTAAAGTAAATCAATCAAAAGTAACAGGGATTACTGCCTTTGGAATCTGACAAGCTGAGACATGATTACTGTTAAATTATTAATTTTTGTGATGGTTATATTTTCATTGATTTCATTGATATGTTTTTAAAGCAATGCTTTTATCACATTGTAATAGAGAAAAAGTTTGTTATAAATGTCACTTGATCAGATTTCATAAATGATATAATCCACAAATTAAAGTACCACAAAAACCAGAAAATTGAAACCCCAAGGAGAATATTCAATTTTACAGTATCTGCTTGCTACAAGTGTGAAAAAAATGAGTACCTAGCAGACTGGAACATTTTCACTACCTTCATAGTAGGCAAAATCAGAATATACATTATGTACTAGACGGAACCTGGTTCCAGGATTTGCACCTATTCTTTTCTGCTTAAAATGTTCAGCTGACATTTGCTGTGAAATATGATAAATGTCTTTATCAAAATTAAATGATATTTCATGATATTGATGTTGTCACTCATGTTTGACAGGACGAGGATGACCCTGTTGGTCTACAATCTCGACTGGCCTCTATACAACAGCAGCTGATGATGGAAAGGAAAATGAAGCGAAAATCACAGACCTTCTACAGCAAACTGGCAGAATCACCAAACTCCACTAAAGGTGATTATGACAAACCACTAGTTAGTTCACCAAAAGTAAAACTCACCAATGTCCACTAAATGTCAGTACAACAAACCACTAGTTAGTCCACCAAAAGTAAAACTCACCAAAGTCCACTAAATGTCAGTACAACAAACCACTAGTTAGTCCCCCAAAAGTAAAACTCACCAAAGTCCACTACAGGTCAGTACAACAAACCGCTAAGTTAGTCCACCAAAATTAAAACTCACCAAAGTCCACTAAATGTCAGTACAACAAACCAGTAGTAAGTCCCCCAAAAGTAAAGCAGGCTGATTCACCTAGAGATATCAAATCTGTCTATAATCTTGTCCATTGAAGTTGGCCATGGACCCACTTGATTTGATACTAAACAGAGGGATCGTTCCCCAAGTGTATACAATAATTACCAGCAGGAGAGCCAAAATCTGTTGTCAATTCATCCTGAAGAAAATGTTTCAAAGTGTGTAAATTTTCTTTGACAGGTGAGCAGAAGAACAGAATTGTGCAGGTGTCCAAAAACTTAGAGGATATGACACAGAAAGTGAGGCACTTGGAGCTGTGTAGGACTCACATAGAGGTAAAAATATATAGGACTAACACTGGGCTGGTACCCACTTCTACTGAGAAAGTCCAAGTGTCCTGTCTTTATATTGTACATGCTTGTAGTTGAAATTTTGGGGGGTCAATTCATACTCAGTTTCTAGCTAGCAATAAGCTTATGCCTGGTAATAAGCCCACCCATTTATTGCTGTACGACTAATCTCAAACAATTACTCTGTCATTGTCCTGTATTTAGCTCGCCACCTGACTTTGAATGAGATATAATGTATTGGCTCTCTAAAGCCTATCATGAAATAAAAATTGTGAAGACTTACTGTTTGATGTTAGGAAGGGGATAAATATTAATTCTGTACATCTGTTTAATATTTGTCAATATTCTTTCCTTCCTTTAGATGTTACAAGCAGAGTTGAGTGGAATCCATGCCAGTTACCTCCATTCCCTGGCTACCTGTCCCCAAGGCCAGCCCCTACACCTCAGACCATGCCAGGATAGCTCATTCCTCCAGTTCCAGCATCCTAAGGAACCCCACTCAGGCTACGAAATCCTATCCCTTCAGTCTGGCACTCCCGAGGGACTCATGGCCTATTTGTTTGCTAAGTAAATATTTGCTTGTGTGATTTTTCAGTACTTCATTTTTAAACTCAAATGATACAATTTTTTGTGTGTCATACAGGTAACTTTTTACTTTTTGTGTGTCATACAGGTAACTTTTTTACTTTTTGTGTGTCAGACAGGTAATGTTTGTTTTTAATTTGGGAATCTTATTTGTCTGTATTACTGTATAGTTGCTAATACTAATTAGGTTTTATTTTCAAGAAGTTTATGAATGTATCAGAATTGTACAGATTATACAGATAAAGTAGCAGCCTACCAGGAAATCTGACCATGTTAAGTGATGATTATATCACAGTACAAATTAAATGATGTTTTTTCATGTTTACAGCACGGCACTAAGAGATGGCTATACCCATCAGTTCATGTACTGTTTCCGCTACTTTGTGAAGCCAGTCAAGTTACTGAGTTTTCTTGTAGACACCTTCAAAGCAGCTGCGGAGGCAAGGTAGGTTGCCATGGAAACTAAATATCTTTAAAACAAGCTATATGATCAAGTGGAATAAGAAGGGCTCAATCAAACTGAAAACATGGTATTGTCATATCGGAATTTTGTAGGTAAATGTTTGTGAATCTAGTAAATTATTTGTATTTTTGATTAACCTGTCTATACTTTTGAAGTGAGTTGGAATTTCTTTTACAAAGATGTGGGAAGGGGGAGGGAATGAAAATCATGAGAATGCTTGTTTTCAGAAAAATATCAAATGTATAGAAAAGATTTTGAATGGAAAATATAGAAAAAGTCAGTGTTAAGCTTGATTTGAAAACTGACAATAGGATTTGAGCTTAAGTTTCTTAGTTAATTGACCCTTGATGAATCTTAAGACCTGAGTATCAGATACAGATATAATATAACAGGAGAGCGGAGGTGGAGTTGATAAAATTATGATGTTGGTTTTGTATGACAGTGGCCAGAGCAGTGACAACAACATGTCCAAAATCAAACGACGTGTGATGGATCTCATATATTACTGGCTTGAGGGTTACTACTCTGTTGACTTTGACCGCAACAATGAAGCCACTGAACTTCTTCATGCATTTCTTCAACTCAGCGTAAGTTGTTTTATTTTTTTTAACTGTGATTTTTAGACAACCATCATCAGATGATGGGGTAATCAAATTGGTCTGTTTGTGGTCCATCTGTTCATCCATAAACAATTTTATTTTTATTGATATTTCTTGAGAGGTATGGGCTGGGTCTTTCTCAAACTTGTTTTGTAGGTTCGCCTTGATCTCTAGTTGTGCCCCTCTGATTTTTGGACTGATAAAAAAACAAATGACCAAAAGGCAGCCATTTTGGATTTTGACTTTACAAGTTTCTTATTGCTATTTCTTGAAAAGTACTGGATGGATCTTTCTCCAATTTCATATGAATGGTCTCCTGGCTGACAAATGACTATTGTTGATTTAAAAGTGGAAGGCTATTATCACTACATCTATTTCCTAAGAGAAATTATCAAATTTCATATAATATAAAGAGAAAACGTAAGGAAAATATCCAACTTTTAAAGAACAAATGAAGATCAAACAATAGTGGGTGCCAATATACCTGTGGGATTTCTTGTTTTATTAGTTATATTTTATATCTCTCTTCTTTGAAAATTTTAAAATAGAGAGAAAGTGTCTTCAAAATCTATGAATCTATAGGAAATATCACAAAATGCTAATGAACAAATGAATACTTGAAGTGTTTTATGTGATTCAAATACAATTATTTTATTTCATTATGGTGCTCAGGATTTAAAATATATTAGGATGCAACAATTTGAGATGGAAACTCCGTCTCCAAAAATAAAGGGAGTTAACATGTACAATATTTTGTACAACATTGTAGAGTTATCTCCCTGTAATACTGAATTTACAAACTTATTGCCTCTTTTCATTTTAGGATACTGCAGCATTGCCAGAGGGAAAAGAACTGACAGAATTACTAAGTAACTGTGAGGAGGGTTTTAATATTGATCTTGTATCGGCAAAAGAGGAAGAAGATATTCATATCTACAAATCCAACACTCCACGAAAGGTACAATATACCGACTATTTTTTTAAAATCATTATCAAAATGTAATGAGTTCACCTAATTTAAATTTTCTTTAGAAAATGTACATCAAAAAAATTAGTTTTAAGTGTCAGATTATAACATGTAAGTGTATGTGATAAATATTACTTTAAAATGAAATTTGTTCAAAACATTCATGAAGGACTTGTAAGTGCAAGATTTATCCTTCAAGAAAATGTTTATCTTTTTATAAAATAATTGTAATGAAGTATTGATGTCATGTGATATAGATCCAATGACATTACAGCTGTAGGGTTATATCAGACTTGGTAAGAATACATTACAGCAGTCCGATAAAGTTTAATGTTAGAATACTAAGTATTTAGTTTGAATGGTGTCATATTCAGGGGTCAGATTATTCAGATTCTGTTGTATAATTCATTTTCATATTTTCTGGAGAATATTTTATTGGTGTACTACTGCAGGTGTATTACATGAGAGATGACGTTCCTCAACAGGAAGAGGTACAGAATAAATAAAGTGGTTCATTTTAAATAATTAACTAAAAGTTTTACCTATTAATACCCTAATTATTAAATTGACAAGGAAATTAGAAATTGATTTGCATTTTAAAATTCTTATACAAATGATTTAATTGTTTAAAAAGATAAACAGTTTTAGCAATATGTAAACCAATAATCCTTGTCAAGGTTTTATGTTTCTGGATAAGGGGTCAGGTTCTGGTGTGACCTCTGGTTTCAGCCAATCAGAAGTTACAACTAGAATACTTGGTGTCGGAGTGTGTTCATGTTTAATAGCAACCACAATCGCTTGGATCACTTAATTTTATTACAAAGCTATATGCAAAGAATTTTCTGTTGTCTTTGATAAAAACAAATCATTAAAATGTAATTTCTATTTCTTTATGTGACTAAATAAGAATTCAGTCAAATTCATGTTTTAAATCTCATTGCTTTCATCAGAAAATTTAAACAGTCATGGAAATTTGGCTGGGTACTTGGTATTTTGGCAAATTTTCCACCAGTACCACAAAGAGTATCTGGGTAGCTCGTAAATGGTACAATGTTACAGATTTACATGTTAAGATCTTGTACTTCACTTTTTACAGAGTTATAGCCCTTTTTTCTCATTTAAAACAAATTTTTTTAAGTAGACAGGATGGGGGTATGGATTATGTATTTGCATCTCTCTGTTACTTTAACTAGTGTTACAGTATTTTGTCTTTATGAGAAAGAAAATTTACAACTTTGTTGATATCTTCTATAAATTGATTTCCAGTCTAAGCTGCTGAGAAAAGTGGGAACAAACATAAGAAAGGTGGAACATTATGCCATTGTTTTCATTTTTATTGGATTGATGTTTGGCTGATGAGTGTGTTAAATGTTTGTAGTGGAATGACGCTAAAATGAATAATGTATATTTCCATGTGATCGAAAGCATATAGTGAAATTGAAAGTGCGTAGATATATGTGTGTAATACAGACTTATTTGTGTCAACTCAAAAATATACAGTATAGTGTAAGAAAACAAATTAGGTATGAAAGGTAAGAATCCCAATAAAGTTTAGTAGAATACATATATATGTATATATATTTAAGTATATCAAGGGGTTTGTCTGGATAGAGCTCAGTTTTAGAGGTATATGTGCCAGGTATAAGGAAACATTAATTGAAAACACAATGACACATGATTGTTTTTGAAAGTTAAATGAATTAGTCACTCTGGGTTAAAAACTTGAAATCTATGGTGAGAATTGGGGGATGCTCAAGAGATGCATGTTGATAGATTGTGTGAGCCTTAACTGCTAGTTATATAATGGTGTGCTAACTCATTGTGCCATAACAATGATATATATCACAAGGTCCTGTTTAAGTGTTTCTGTAAAATCTAGGATATGAAAATGATTGTTTTGCAACTAATGGTTTATTCAGCCAAAGATTTTGGTATAAAAAGATTTCATTCAACAGCTGTTAAGAATTTCTCATCTATATATACCAGGTGTATATGATTTTTGCTTTATTTTCCTTACACAGTGGTGAAAATACTTACATGTATATACAAACAATCAAAATTAAATGATGGTAATAATAATACAGGTCACTTGGATAACAATTGTTAGTTATAAATGTAATATTTTCATCAACAGAAGAATAAAATTAATCTATTATGTTTTTCCTACATTTGTGTTTGCTAGACACCTGGGGCTAATTTTCTGGGAAAAAAACCAAGAAAACAAAGAAGGGAAAATGCCCATTTATGTGACAGAGTTGAGTCTGAAATGCTGGTGACGTAACAGCTACTCAAGTGCATAAACTTAGTGTTAAAATGACATTTTTATAGAATTGCACTAAAATGAGAGAACTGCTAATAGTTGTGTGTAGAGAGACTTCATTAGCCTATTCTGTATGTAATCTCACATCATCGTAACTAATTTTCTTAATTGTTTACTTTCTAACCTAAATTGTATTGTTTCAAAACACACAGAAGACTATGATGTGATTTTAGCTGCTTAGAGACAGACTGTTAATAACCTTTAAGGGGTTTATGTTCTACATGTCAGTGAGTTCATGATATCAAGTTATATCTATATTAAAAAAAAAGTGAAAACATTTATTTATAGACAAAACATAATTTCTCTTTGTACATAATTGGTGTTTGAAAATCATACCAGTTATTTGCTATCTGAATTGGTCATCAAAAGAAAGTTGACAATTTCTGAAATCATTCTCATAATTTCTGTATGAATATATTAAGTCTGATCAGTCATTGTTTACAGGATAATATAAACGGGTTGAGGTCTTTTTACATTTTTCAGTGGGGATCCTTGAAGAATATATTAGGGCGTGGTAAGGCATCTTCACCTAAATTGATGTTATTCCACGAGAAGCGAACTCCTGTTACAAAACTGACAACAGATGATGGATTCCTGCCAGCCAAATCACCTCGTCGTGTGGATTCATTTACCCTCCTTGACCACCCGCCTCAGACCTTAGCCGAACAACTTACTCTCGTAGCACAGGTAGCTACAGTAGTACTTTGCTATAATACTTAATTACAGAAAATAATCTCAGGAATTTGATATAAATACTTTATTACCACTTCACACAGCTTCATTTGAATTTCTCATGAACTGAATGTGAGAACCTGTATTCAAATGGCCTCAGTAGAAATTTTTGCTTGTAAATATACTTATATTGGACAGGTGTGTAGCCAAACAATTTTGATGTGTACACAATTGGGAGTGAATAAGGGGCACAAGGGGTTTACATTTAAGTGGCAAAGCCCAAGTAAGGGGTTTAGGTGGCAAAGAAATTCAAGCTGGAAAGAAATTAGTTTAATTTCGCAAATAATTTGCTTCATTTTGTAATATGTGCAGCTGTGAATTGGTAAAATCTGCTTCAGTAAACATTTCTGTCAGTAGATGTTTTTGTATTTTGCAGTTGAACAAGTGTAATGATGCAGGTGCTGGGATTAAATGTGACATTATTTGTATGAAAACTTTTTAAAAAAAAGATGTACTGTCTTCACCACAAAACAGTTTAAATATGATGTGTTTAGGAAACACTGTTCCCTGTTGCAACAAAATTCTGAAGCGGGACATTAAAAAACTGTACTGTGTTAGGCATGTGCTAATTGCATACACACTTAAAGTTCAAGGGGCAAAACTCTGTCAATTATTAAAGCCTACCTTACAGTGCATTAGTCAAGGCCAATGTTAAAGCTTTCCAAATGTAGGTCAAAGGTCATGGTCATGGTCACATGGTCTACAGTTTTGCCAAGTATGAAAGCCCTTTGCCTCTTACAGTGCAACAGTTATAGACAAGGTTAAAGTTGACAACAGACAAACAAACAGACAGCACAGAAACAATATGCCTCTGATCAGGAGGCAGCATAGAAATTATCCTGGAATGTGAGATAAACTTAAGTAACAAATAACAAAATGAGCTTATTTGGGCAGGCTATATTACTGCAGAGCATAATCATGGTTTTTGTCTATTTTCAGAGCATTTTCCAGCTGACCCATCCTGTCCACTACCTGAATTCTAAGGCCCAGGGGATTAGTGTGGCCATGACTATGACTGGCTCCAAAACACCACTAATGCAAAGGTAAACATTTAGGGTTACTGAAATCTGCTTTCACCTGTGCGCTCCAATAATGCCATATTGAAAATACATTTTGAATTAATAATATTTTACTTTGAGACAAATTCGAGTTCCAATATGACCACTATGGCAGCCATCTATAGACATTCATCTTTGTCCTGTAATTAATTGGTTTACAGACTGACGGGCCAGGACTCGGATCAGCCTCTACCTCCAAGCCTCTTTGTGAATAAGACATTGAGGGAGTCTGCGGTCCAGCTGATGATAGAACATGACCAGGAGGTGGGACACTGGGTGGCTGCAGAGATCGTCAACTGCAGCAATGCTAAGGTACTTGTATATACTTACTTATTACACCCAGCTTAGCTGAAAAGACTCGAGTGGTTGACAAGAATATTTATCCTTGCTGTGCAGACTTGTCAGTGTCTGAAAATACCACCAACAGAACTGATACTGCCTGGGATATGTCTAACTTTATTCATTTACATCGGACTTGATTTTATTATCAACACACAATCTAGGGTATTTACTGTATGATGCACAAGATTGACATGAGACTTAAGCAGCAGACATGGTAGATGTGCCCATATTCCGCATGAGTAAGTTGGTAACATACAGCTGGTAAAACGTCTGGTTTATACTGTTCCTCACTGTACTGCTGAATCAGAATTAGGTGGAACTTTTACTTCAATTCTTTGGCAAAACCCATGTTTTGATATAGAATATCATTGAGATATGGATTTTGATAAGTGTATGTAAATTTCATTTTCATTTCAGAACCAGCTGGCTATTCTTACAAAATTCCTTCATACAGCCCAAATCTGCAAGGACATGAGAAACTATGGAACATGTCTTGCCATATTGGATGGTCTGGAGAACTTAATTGTCAAACAGCTTCCTGCCTGGAGAAACCTCCAGGGAAAATGTGTCAGCATCTTTGAGGAGTTATCATCTGTCAGGGTGAGATAAATTGTCTATCGGGGAGAAATTTGTCTATCAAGGGAGATAACATGTTTGTCAGGGTGAGATAACTTGTCTATCGGGGAGAAATTTGTCTATCAGGGGAGATAACTTGTTTGTCAGGGTAAGATAACTTATCTATCAGGGAAGATAACTTGTCTGTCGTGGGAGATAGCTTGTCTATCAGGGAGAAACTTTCCTATCAGGGGACATAACTTGTCTGTCAGGGGAGATATCTTGTCTGTCAGGGTAAGATAACGTATCTGTCAGGGTAAGATATTTTGTCTAACGGGGAGAAACTTGTCTATCAGTGAAGATAACTTGTTTGTCAGTGGAGATAACTTGTCAATCAGGGGAGATAACTTGTCTGTCAGGGTAAAATAACTTGTCTGTCAGGGTAAGATAACTTATCTTTCAGGGAAGATAACTTGTCTGTCAGGGGAGATAACTTGTCTGTCAGGGTAAAATAACTTGTCTGTCAGGGTAAGATAACTTATCTATCAGGGAAGATAACTTGTTTGTCAGTGGAGATAACTTGTCTGTCAGGGGAGATAGCTTGTCTGTCAGGATAAAATAACTTGTCTGTCAGGGAAAATAACTTTTTGTCAACGGCAGATACTTTTTTTGTCAAGTGAGATAAGGGCAGCTCTCTTGTCTGTCAGGGGAGATAAATTCTGTCAAGGCCAGATAACTTTTCATCAGGGGGGGATAGCTTCTCTGTCAAAGAGAAAACTTTTGTCATGGGGAGATAACTTTCTTTTACTATTTTCATTCCAGTGGAGTATGAGTGATATTCTATATGATTATTTCCCTGTTTTAGCTCTTCCTGAAGAATGATGGAATGGCCATCACCAGCATCACCAACAGCCATCTTCTTCCCACAATTCCTTCTGTTTTACTCTTCCTGTTCCATGTCCAGCAACAAGAGATTGGAAGTTTTCAGCTTGCAAATGGCATGTACAAGTGGAGCAAAATCAGGTAAAACTCCAATATTATCTTGTCAGTTATAAACAGTTCAATCATGCATTGTTCAAAACAGGCCTGTAACATCAAGTGAAAATACATTGTATAACTTTCCATCAACTGATTGACAGAAAACATTGATGTTATTTAAGAGCTTTGACAATAACTGTGTAATTGATAATTTTTTGTCTATTTCCTTTAATTACCACCTGTGTTGAACAAGAAATTATGCCTGACATATGATTGACTTGTCTATAAAAATCACTCCATCTACCAAATATGATTGATAAATGTATGGTGACTAAATTGGAAATGCCTGAAATATGTTTTCTTTTTTTCGGTTTAGGTCCATCAGTAAAATTATTGACCAGATTAGGATATTCAAGGACCATCTTTATGGATTTGAGCCTGACTTTGACCTACAGGATGACATTCAGCTACGCATACGAGAGTTTGGAGGTCAAGATATTCATCAAATAGCTGCTCAACATCATACAAACTATCAGAAAATGCCCTCAGGTGGTATTAGTGGAGCTTTCCGAAAAATAAAAGTGAAGTTACAGTCCAAGTGAGGTTAAGATACGAAACTGCCAACATGGTTATAAACCTAGCTTTGAAGATGAAAGGGAAAGCTGAAGTGAAAGTGAGGCTGGAATCATGATAAGCCTCTCTTGTTTATTATGAAGATGAGCAGGCAAATGTGAAAATGAGGCTGGAATCATGCAAATACTTAAATTGAGACTAAAGCGCTACAGAATGAGCTTGTCACTTAGAAAGTTGGTCCAAAATACCTCAAAGAATACCAAATATTTGAAAGAGAGGATGTTATGTAGCCTAGAAAAGAAAAGAAAAGTTTGTTTGAAAAATGAGATTGAATGCTATCAAATAGAGGGCATTTTCCAAATAAGGCTTACATGAGAATGAGACTGAACACTGTGCAGTGAGACTGAGAAATGAGGCTAATGTTAAAATGAAGCTGATTTTGACACCTGGATTGTACCACCATAACACTGACAAGGATTCAAGTGGTTAGTTTTGCTGGTTAGCTGTGGATAACAGAATACCTACTACGGATCTACTCGGACATGATCTCCTCTCTATAGCCAAGTTCTTTACTTCAAAGTCAATAAGGAATCACCAGAGTTTGGAAAACCAAAAAGACAAAAATTTGTGAAAAATAATATATTACACACTAAACTGCAAGTCACCTTGATGTTAAATGTAGCACAAAATTATGATAGATATAAGTTGAAGATTGTCACTGTAGAAATAAGAGTACACACGTTATGGTTTAAGATGAAGGTTAGAACATTATGAAGGTATATTTACTATTGTGAAATTTCTCAATTTTATTAATAAGAACTCTTCAGTAGACACATACTGTGCCCAGTGACTGATCAGAAGTGGCAATATGTGGTTAGAGATCATGACATTTAAGGTACGTAGATACTAGTATACACCATTACACAAGACCTCTTCATCATCTTTATATGCAATGGAATGGGGATAAAAACTACCATGGCTGCTTTGAGCAGGTTTTCTATAAGAAGTGTTACACCACTGTATCAGACACTAACTGCTTACAGCGACACTAAAACTTTATGTACCAATATTCAGGAGCCTAAACATCCTTGTTGCTATTATCATTGTGTCAGGACCAGTTGTAATGAAACAAGGAGAGGCTGAAATGAATGTCTAATCTGCAATATTTAGCTGGACTAATCAGTTAATGCTTCATCATTCCTTAATACTGTTAAACACTTAGATTTTGTGAAAATTTTATTTCGCAAACTTTTCTGATATATTTGGGAATACATTAGGTTGCAAACTGTTATCTAGAAATGACTTTACATTCACAAACGATGGGCTATTAGATACATGAACTCGGATATCGTTGACTGAATCAACATGGATTTCGTAAAAAATTATTTCTGTACAAATAATCATGATGCATTTAAATGCCACGCTAATTGTAAGTGAATTACAGTATTACAATACAATACAGTAGTACATTGCATTAATATAGTGCCTTTGATTCTAAAAGTACTCCAAGGTACTTAAAACAGAATATGAAATTACCACTAATACTTAACACATGTAACTGTATAGATGCTTTTCATCTCTTGTTGAATCTCTATAATATTTTAGCATTCACAGTGCTAACAGTGTTTAATTTGACCTCTTAATTTAGGGTACTCCAACAGCATTTAAGGTCAATCAGGCCGACTTAGACCTCTTATACATATAGGAGTAAATTTAAGGTTAAAACGTGAAAATAAGGCAGAAGTTAGCGGTATATACAAATTATTGGGTCATACAGAGACCCATTGTAAATATATATCAGTTTATCAGATGTTTCTTGTCTTACATAATGTGCACCTCTGACAACATGACATTTCTGGAATATAAGAAAGATTGTCAATTGTATGGGACTCTCCGAAAATAAAATTAGCCATGGTAGACAATTTTATGGGTAAAGAAAGCACACTTTAAATGAGTATATTAATACAGTAACAGGGACTGCTTATGAGCAGTCAAATTACTGCACTTATATTTTCTAATATCTTATCTCGATTTTTAGATAAACAATTTTAAGTTTGTTTAAGTGTAAACGGGATTTATCTGTTAACAGTGCTATGTATTTGATTGAGCAGTCTTTAGGCTGTCTATAGTGAGGTAAATATGCAATATGACTGCTTTGTCATGAAAATGTGGAAAATCTTGCCAATCAGTAGTTTTGAGTTAGACAATCATTAAACATGTATATACATTTATTGAATATATGATTATTATTAATGTAAATGTCATGCATATATTGTTTGAGTTGCATGTGCGCCATGTAAAAATGTAAAATTTTGTATTTTTTCATTTTTGTTTTTCTATATATCCATGACCTGTGATAATTCAGGAGACACTGAATGATGCCTATTTTTTAGTGTATCTCACAATTAACCTTTGTAATATAAAAGGTAAATATCTGTTATATCTGTAATATACATGCATGGCATGTAATATTAGTATATGCAAACATTTTCTTTTTGATTTTGCACTCAAACCTGATTATAAAGACTATTCATTGAAAGCAGAGAAAATAGCCTTTATTTCGGTTGGTTGGGTAGTTGACAGGTTTTCCATCTCTGCAACTCCTCCAATGTCAGGGTATTGTCTCACCGACGAACGTCAGTGTTCTGGCATTCTGTCTTTTATATAGAAGTTCAATAACTATGAACCATATTACCTTCTGAACTGAAATCTCCTTTAAAGACTATTATGTTTTATATACATGTGACATATTAGACACATTAACTAGGTGAATACAAAAAAAAAATCCTTGTCAAATATGCTAATATCACCAATTTAATACAAGTATTCTTTTCTGATATGTGATATATATCTAAAAGTGTTTTAAGTCAAAGGACAAAATTTCCAGATTTTTTAATCCTGTAGTCTGCTTTCCAAAATCTCTGTTCTGGGCTCCATTACTTGATGGATTGTATTGAGTTGAAAATGCAGTGTTTGCAATTCAACGTTGAAGTATCAGAAATATTTTGTATCTTTTCCGGTCCTGGAGAATAAGTTTCATTTTCCATTATCTATAGTTACATGCAATATGTATTAATTGTACATTGTTTTGAAATTCATTGTGAAAATATTTGAATATTAATACAATGTAGTTCTTCAATTTTCAATAATAAGTTCTTATAAAGAATCTCAAGTCTGATAAATCTCATTAAAATGTTATCTAAGATTCAATCATCCCAAAAGTCGATAATAAATTTAAATATAAGAAAATGGGATATTTGGTGTCTTAATAGTGAAGCCTACTAAGCTTGTTTGCATGTGTTACCACTATAATCTTGGACTTATAGCCATGTCTAAGTCTATGTTGTAAGGTCTAGTTTTTTTGTCTATAATCATGATCAATATCAATATCAAAGGGATACAGTATTTTTTATCTTCTTAATGAAAATATTAAAAGATATTTTGTGTTTGTTTGTGATTACAGTCCGTATGATTAAAAATTACTTCATCTGAGGCTTTGGCAATATAACTTCTACCAGTATCATTTATTGTGCAAACCATGACATTGTTTCATCAGTGATATAAATAGGTGTATATGTCCTTGGTTACAAGGAGTAGTCTCCCTTAGTTCTATGTAAAATCAGGGTTGACATATAACTTCAATCGGGTGAAAAAATGGTAACATTAGGGAGAGGGAGGGGTTTGTTATATTGTTATATATAGTACATGTATATTATTGAAAAAATCATAATAAAACATCACATTATTTCTGATGTACAAAATTAAATTGGGTTTCTACCTATATTCTATAATACAAAATGTATCTGTGATATTCTACTTAACCTTTATAAACTTATAGCCCTTCAATATGTATATATACATGTATGTAAAGATCTAACACCAGTTTTGATATTATATTTAATACCTTATTTTGAAAAAATATATGTTGACTTTTTGTTCACATTTAAAGCAGTAACTTTGATTGGGTGAACCCAGTTCTTTTTCATTAGCCATAACTGAAAGTTATTACACTTATCAAAGTTCAATACTCCTGTATTCTGCAATAAGCCCAGATAACCAATTAAACACTGAATTTCGGTTAAAATCAAAGGAGTCAACATATCACGAGACCTGTATGCAAATTAGGTTATCTCAGTAATTCAAACTAAAAAGTAACAGATACGGGTAGGCTTATAGCCAGGTACATGTACAAAATTGTAACGTCACATAAATTTGGACATTTTTGATGGTTGACACTTAACTTTCAATATCAATTTGATTTGACAAAGTAACTCCTAAATCTAGAATTCTAGTCCAGACATTTTTCTTTATTTCACTGTTCAAAACCTGAATATAATAGTTTTCTGAACAAGAAAATGAAAAATCTATTTGAAAATGTAGATCCATGTTCTACCGAAATTATCATTTGAAAGAACTGGTGTCAGGTCATTTATGACTTAATACAAACACATAAACATTACAGGTTTTACACTGTCATTTTGTTCCGTGATTGTGTTAAAATTAAACATTTATGTACTTTACAAGTACCATACTGTGTACTCAAAAGTTGTCAGATACAAAGTTATTAAAATACTGGATATACAGCAAAATGGTGTTTATGTATATTGTACATGGGGAAAAGGTCAATGCAATTTTAAATTCCATTCAGAATTTGAAACAGATTGTTTCATCCGTTACGGGCTGAGTTTTAAGTGAGAAAAATGAACAGTTTGATGCAAGAATGAAAACCTATGTGGAAATTTCCGCGTATACTACGGTAATTCACTCAAAATAACCACATTGAGAATGTCATGACACTTGATGGATAATCATCCTGTCATTTAGAGCATAAACAAGTAGTCAAGCAACTCCCTGGTTCCTTCATCGTGTACAGTATCAACCTGAAATAAGCTCCAGGGACTGATATATAGATTTTGACTCGATATCAAGTAACAGACTTAATGCAGGACAGTAAAATTGCAGCTGTTTTGAATTCTACTGAACAGCAATGTATATGGGTGGGCATATTACTCCTTGACCAGGCATGAAT